TTTTGATAAAATAAATGCAGCCTTGATGAGCATAAGAAACTCCTGTAAAAAAACATTAAAAAACGTTCTGATCCCAAACTTTTGACCAGTAGTGGTATATATTCACATTTTACTTTTGACCGCCACACTGTGTGTAAAAATTGATTATTATTCATTATTTATGCACCCAATCAAATTTACCGCAATGTACATTTCTGAAAGATCATGTGACACTGAAGACTGGAGTAATAATGCTGAAAATTCAGCTGTGATCACAGCAATCAATTACATTTTATATATGTACATATATATATGTATATATGTGTGTGACACACACACGCACGCATTTGTATTTATACTTTATGTATGTAGATTTTTATAGTTATAATAAAAAAATTAAGTAATTTAATTATTTTATATTTAATTTTAATTATTTTAAATATGTGTGTGTATACATACATATATACAGATACACGTGTATTTATACTAATATGTATATTTTTAGAAATATATAATTAACATGTTATAAAATTATATACAAATTATAAATATATAAAAGTATAATATAAATGTATTTATATGTAAGTGTGTGTGTGTGAGAGAGAGAGACCAACGGTGTCAGTGTTTAGAATCAGAATTCTGATTCTGATTCAACAGTGATATTAAATATATTCCCAATTATCAATGTGCCACATGAGTTTTTCTTTTTCTTTCCCCACTGTTTAATGTTAGACGTGATAATCATTCTTGTTTGAAATGCGCGAAAATTAAACAAAGTCAAGATCTCCGCAGGTCGTGCCGCTGTCACACGTTCGCGGGCTTCACACGGAGCGTGTAAACTGCGCATGCTCCTTGACCTTGCGATTAAACCACGCCCGCGTGATGTCGTCAGACCTGAAACACCCAGTATTTAGTCTGTGCCGTCAGGAAGTGCGCATGTTTTAAAAGATGGCGGACGTTCCTATTGACGCACCAGAACGTAAGTCCAATGAATGTTTATACATTACGTTTTATAATCCCCAGTTTCTTAGGCTGTCATCGGTTTACAGTTTAAATGACACTTTCGCCAACTGTACAACATATCAGACACGTTTCGCTGTGCCTCTTTGATGTTTAATAATGTCTTGAAAACTGACATCCGTCATGTCAGAGAGTCTGTCAGAACAGCTGCCTACACCTTTACATTACTGGTTACTTTAACATCCATAAATACAGTTACAACATGCTGTCAAACTAAGTGTGGAAGCTTAGTTCTGGGGCCGGTTGAAAAAACTGCTAGTCTTAAAAATTCATCTAGATTTTTTTTCTTCGACTGGTCATAACTTTTTAAATTAAATTACTAAAAGATAGTTTGGTCTAATTTGAATCTCTGAAGTACGACCAATTACCCCTTTTCTACTGCTAGTCGGTGAAACTAGTTCTTAAGACCCATTTTAAAATAGTTACTATGTTTATGCAACTGGCCGCTGGTCTTTCTTTGAATGGCATAGTGAACTTATGTCTAAGTCCGTCTGTCATTGTGTGTATTATTATTTGCTGTTAAAGACAGAAGAGGGAGGGTAAAACTTACAGAGGCATCTGTTCAGATACACACTGTACATTAGTGATGCGCGGATGAGCTAAAACGTAAACAGTTGCAAAATAAAACGCACGAGTATCAGTATTGGATCCGTGAAATAGGTCTTGTGACAGCAGCCTAGCTGTGCCGTCTTTTATTAATGTTAATCAAACAACAAAACTCACTGCTCTTGACTAAATAATGTTTTGTTGAATAACTTTTAATGTTAATTTACAGTTTATTCAATTTCTGTAGCCTATTTAAAACACGTTCATAATTTAGAAAATGTAGTTAATACTTGCATAATTAATGATTTATTTTATCCACCCGCGAATAATCAGAATGCATTTTTTTATTATCCGACCCACCCGATCCGCGGATTATCCGCAGCGCCCGCGGATATAACCGCCATCCGCGCATCACTACTGTACATGTCTGTATTTTAATTGCTTTAATGTGTTGTCATTCTCTCTAGACTGTCCGGGTACAAGCAGTGATCAGGCTGGTAAATCATCAGCATGTCAAGGATGCCCAAACCAAAACATATGTGCGTCTGGTGCTGCCAAAGCTCCTGATCCAGGTATACATACATAAGTATATTGCAGCTAAAACTGGTCAGTTCTGTGTGAGCTTTGAATGTTCATAAAGAAAGAACAAATTTAAAAAAAAGATTTTTGAAATTGATTAAATTTTTCTTAATGTTATTCAAGGTCGATGGCTTTTCATACTATGGCTTTTTAGATTTATTCTTCAGATATGTTAACGGATGATGATGTACAACGTCACTGTTATTTTTTTATTATAATAGCTTGTTGGCTCCATCTAAATCTGAAGTGTGTGACTTTGTTTTCTCTCGTTGCAGCCATAGAGGAAATCAGACAGAAACTGACCTCTGTGAATCACAAGATTCTGGTTTTGTCTGGAAAAGGGGGTGTTGGGAAGAGCACGTTCAGCGCACATTTGTCTCATGCATTAGCTAGTGATGACTCCAAAGAGGTAAGACCACTGTGCACTGTGGAAACACTGTGTGTGTGTGTGTCGGTATTCTTATCGGTACTTTTTGTTTTATATTTATATATTTATATATATATTTATATATATATAAATATATATATAAATATATAAATATAAAACAAAAAGTACCGATAAGAATACCGTTAAAGTACCGAATCGATAAGCAGTATCTATAGGAGTAGTAATACCGTTAAAACCTTAACGATACCCGTCCCTACTAAACATACAACATGCCAGCTTTCAGCTTTAAGTAGGAAGCAGAGAAATCAGTTATCAAGTGGCAGATCCTGACTTCCTGTGGTATGGTTCGTAGAAGCATCGCTGTATTCTCAAGAAACGCTTTTCTTTATTTAATGTTTTCATGTTCAGTGGCAGTGTTCCTAGTAAATGAAGCTGCATCCTTTATATTTACATTGATTGCCTATGTTTGTCCCCACAGTTTTTCTAGCATGTCCTCTGGAGTGAGTACTTCAGCAGACCCAACCACCTACTCTTGTCGTTTCAGTTTTCTACAGTAAACACTAAAGGTCATAATGTTAAACTTTGTTGATTGCCATCATGAATTACAAAAATGCTTCCCAGTATTGATTATCATGGTAAACACATTGTTTGCCCTGAGACCCATTTCTTGTTAATAAGCATCTATGTAATGAGTTTACTCAATTTACATTTTAATGTAGGTTAAATGCTTCAGACTTTGACTGAAGGTGCATGCGAGGTGGAAAGTAGATTAATTTACAAGTGCGGCATTCACTCACAGTAACTAGAGCAGTAAGGGGATGAGGTCATCACTACAGCATAATGAAAAGCATCATGTAGCTGTTAATGAGAAAGTTTGTGTGCTAATGGTGATAACTGGATAAACCTGCTGAAGTGTAATCAGAACCGGTTCACACATTTTGCTGAAATACACACCGTTTAGTTTTATGTTTATACTTTATGCTGAAACTCAATTAAGTTGTGATGCAACATCATTTTAATATCAAATTACTGTATTTTAGAACGTGTTTGTACCAACAAACAAAGGGTGTAACAGATTTTATGCTTCCATATGGAGTCTGTCTCGTAGTTTTGATTACAGGGGAATACTCCACCCAGCTGAAACTGGGAAGAGACTTGTGTTTGACCCAAGAATGTCTTGTTCTTCTGCCATTTCAAGAGCTTTAGGCTGTTGCAAACACCCTTTTTTGGTACTAGATTCTTAAGAGTAGAAGCCACACACTTTATTCTTTAAAATCTCTGTTTTGATTTTTCTCAGACATTTCTATTAAATCTCTTTCTGTTGGTGTGTAGAGATACAGTGACATATTTTCATAACTTGCCTCTAGACGTGTGAAGAAGTAAGATACAAGAACGAATTTCCCTTTTCCTCCTCCTCCTTAACAGAGGATAAATACCTTTTATGAGAGAGCTGTGCCTATCTTAAACTTTTTCTCCTTTTTCTTGTGTGTCCCAAGCTGCTTTTTAAGGAAATGCTGGTGGTTTAGTAGCTGTCTGCAGAATCCTGATGAATATAGCAGCCACTTGTTTTGATGGTTGTGAATATGGTTTAGGAATCCCTCCTTTTGGGCCTCGAACCAACAACCTTTGGTTTACCAGTCCAGTAAAAAAGGTCAAATAATCAGCACTCATTAGCTATAGGTTTCCATCCAAATATTGTTATGCAAATGTTTTGGGGTATCCTTTATTGGTGATAAACATTGTACATTTGTAAACATTTATAAGCATTTTTTGTTCTTTGTTTTTCTTCTGATTCCCTTGTTCTCTGCATAGGCAAGTATTAAGAAGGTATACATTTGTTTTGAAATGATGGAAAACTTTATATGTAGCATAACTTAACATGTAACTTAATCTGGAGAAATGTATAAATAAAATCTGAAAAAATGTGATATTGCCCACAAAGTATCTGTATGGATAACATTTTGAAAATTTGCGTAAAAATGTATGCACTCACTTAAGGTGGATAATATTTTTTGAATATTCAATTGGAAGGCATGCACAAACCATATAATCATATAATCATATAATTGATTATGTTTAACATAACCTATTCCATTTTGCACCAGCTTCCTCAGAAGTGGATTTTGTTCTTTTAAACACATGGGAAGTAAATACTGTTTTATTCACAGATAGGTTTCTGGGTTTTTCTTTTTTTTTTTTTTTTTTGCATAAATTACAGTAAATTCACAATTTGGATGAAAGCACAGCTAATGTCTCTTTGCTTTTCTAGGAAGAGCATATAGGCTACAGTAGCCAATTCTGCATCTGGTCCCAAACAGGCCTGTTTGTGGATGTTCCATATTCTCTCAAGAGGTCTGTGGGATTCTTAGCATTTTTGTTAGGTTAAGATGTGCTTTTCCACTCCTCACTCTTCATGTATTTGATGAGCCCTGAGGGTTTCAGACATTGATTTAAGAAGGCCAAATAAGACACAGGAGCACGTATATTTGTGTTTCAAGTACTGGAAAAGAAGAGCGGTTGCCAGAAGAAAAGTATTCAGACTCTGGGAGGAAGTGGTGTGATTTCCCCTTTAGCTCGCTGGAAGAATCCCTGACTTTTGCCACTATGGTCTTAGCCTCCCTACAACCCTGTTCACTGAGCGTCCATTTCCCGAGAGAGAGCGAGGGAACCTGGACGATTAAGTGGGGTTCTGTGCTCCTCCTCGTTTGCTGCTTTCACTCCAAAGTGTGCTTTCAGTAAATTTCCTTCAGGAAGCAGATGAACAGGGAGGGAAAAATAAACAGCGTGTGACCCTACCGAGGGTGTGTTTTAAGGGCGTGCAGCTTAATTCAGCCATTGACAAATAACATTTAACACAAGCCAGGGGAAAGAAGGTCATATGTTTAATTAGACTATATTTATTTTTAAACCAAATACATTTTACATTTTAAACAAATGCTTTGAGAACTTGAAATAACATCATTGTTGATCCATTTAGGTGCATGTCAGGTGCAACTTTGTTGCATGAAAAAAGCTTTCGTGGATCCAAAAAGTGAAATTATCAGCACATCTGGAATTTTTATCAGTTCCTATCATGTGCACAGATCAGTCACACGCACAAACTCTAACTCTGGTGTGATCATCTAAACATACTGTATGCTGCAGTATAATCCATTGGGCATGCAGCAGCTCTCGGGGGTCTATTGTAAGAGAAGAAAAAGAGTTTTGATGATCTGCTTTACAAAAGCCAGAAATATCATCCTAAATGATTCCCACGTTTTTTTTTCTCCCCTTCATGACTAATGACATTTGCATCTGTTTCTGTGAGGCCCTGTTGAGGTGTTTGCAGTGATAGGTAGATAGATAGATAGATAGATAGATAGATAGATAGATTGATTTTTCATTCAAACCACATAGGCGGTGTAAAGGTTATGTTTCCCGGTCACAGCAGGGTTGAAGTGGCATTCAGAGATGAGTTTAAATAGCCTAAACGTGTGTTGGAGGTGGTTGTGGTCTGTGTGTATAGAGCTGGAACTGAAGTGATGGCCGTATGTAATGACTGAGTCAGTGCTGGTCAGACTGAAGCTGTATGTGTGCGACTGAGTTGCTGACTCACTAAGCTATGCCACGCTGACATCTTGTGTTAACTTCATTGTATTGCGGTGGAGCAATTTTCAATTGTCATTAGGAAACAAATTCCAACCGTTTTGTTTTTGTTTTTTGCTTTAATACAGTAAATAATATGAGCAAGGTGTTTAAAAGCAAGGCACAACCTCATTAATCCATATCCATAATCCATATCCTTATTAAACAGCCTTATGCCAGTTTTTGTGCTTGAATTTTTTTCTTTCCTCTTCCAGGTTGCACTGCTAGATGTGGACATCTGTGGGCCATCTATACCAAAGATAATGGGGTTAGAGGGGGAGCAGGTATGTCGTATATCTCTGGCTTCATTGTGCTTCTTTCTTGTGACAGAATGCTGAGATATCTGACTGATTTATAGACAGGGAATGTCATTCTCTGCTTGTTTTCTCTGTAGGTTCATCAGAGCGGCTCAGGCTGGTCCCCAGTGGTGAGATCTTTTATATCTCTATTCTTTTGATTTGTGTTCTCAAGCATTTGTTACATTCTCAGGCATTCTTACATATGCATATATTCTCTCTGTCTAGTATGTTGAGGACAACTTGGCTGTCATGTCCATTGGCTTCCTGCTCAGTAGTCCAGATGATGCTGTTATCTGGAGAGGACCCAAAAAGAATGGTTGGTACTTTATTTTAGCCCTGTCTTCTGTTGTACACATCAGGAATATAACATTTTTCATTTTCTTAAGTGGTTTAAATTGCATTCCTCAAAGACATGCAGTCTTATTTAGCTGTGAGTTGTATTGGAATCCAAACATGGCAAAAGTGTGACAATACGTGGTATCTGACTGCAGAGCAGTTATTTTTGAATCTATGGATCTGTTTACTTGCACTATACCGCTGATAGTGCAGGTCACAAGACCAGAAAACCATATGACCTATTTGAATTCTACCCAGAATGCTCTGCTTCAAAGTTCTTGGGGAATTTAGGCACCTAATCAATAGGCACTTGTTAAAAGCACATTAAACAGCCCCGCTGATCTAAACAGCAATGACATGGCCTTGAAAAGCAATAAAAGTCATGCTGAAGTTTGAATTTCAGTTCAAACTGAAGTGGTGGGGGAAAAAATACAAAACAAAAATTGTTATGCAAATAAATGAACATAGTTCTAATCTGTTGATTTTTTTTTTTTTTTTAATGTGGTGTCATAATTAAACTTAATGCCTTGATATGATTATGATGATTTATGGGAATAAAAAAAATTAAAATGGCAAAAAAAAAAAAAAGACTAAATAAATGCCCGTTAGATGCCATCCTAAATATTGCCTTCTTTCAGGTCTAATCACATCCCAGTGTAAAAGACGACAGTTAGGGGACTTGTGGTGTTTTTCTGTGGGCAGCAGTCATGTGATTGTTGGTTTAATGGTTAAGGATGTCTTGGTGATGTATGTTTGGTTTCATGCAGCTGTTTTTAAGTGACATGTTTCCACTTGGTTAATCTGGAGTTTTCATTTCAGTAAACAGGTTTTTGTGCTAATCTCTGCCAACCGGTGTACAATAACTGGTGCTTCTTAAAAATCACATCATGATTAACTTTAGTGTAATTAAATAAACGATTTGTGTTCCAGTCGTAGCTGAAACAAGGGCAGCATTAGCTTCCTGCCACAATAAAACTCTGAAGCAGAAGTACTGCTTTCAAAATTAAAAAAAGGTTCCGTTCTGACAAGACAACACAATACACATATAACTTAGTGGTGTCAAAATTTGTTCGCTAACACAGGTGATTAATTTTTTCAATTTAACGCGTTAAAAATATTTAACGCAGGGGTGGGGCTAGGGTTGGTCACCCGACTCACAACTGCTGCTTCTGTCACTTTTTCTCTTGACAAGAAGTGCATTTATTCAGTCGCAGAACGACTGAGAACGGGAGACGTTTCAGACGTGCGCTTCAGGGTTGCCAACTTTTAAATTCAGCTTGGAGTGAGATCTTTTTGGGGGGGTGGGGGGTGGGGGGGATTTCAATAGCAATTCATATGTATTTACTGTACATAAAAGGGGATAAAAATCTTTTTGTTGATAAAATGCAGTTTTTAAATACCATTTTAAACTTGGGGTTAAATTTAGTATTTGCTTGCATTCATATGTATACTTATATAAGTATCATTAAAAAAAAAAGGATGTAAGTATTAACTTTTTAAATTTCACATTTAAAAATCTAGTGTTTAATCATCACAAAATTACTCTAATTTGCCTCTTTGCATTGGAATTTAAAACCCTTTCTCTATTTTAACCTTAAATACTACACTAATTGTAATAGAAATACTAGAAAAAAATATTTTAAGTCATTAATGGACCATAATTATTGCACAAATAGTATTTAGTACCAAAATATCTCCTTAAAATATTAAATATTTTTGAACTAAAATATAGAACATTTATTTAACTGCAAAAGAGTTAAGCTGTATGGTCACATTATAAGTAAGCAATAACTGAGGGTTAAATACAAGAAAACCATATTAATGTTGCCTCTCCATCACTCTCCATAATATGCTGTAATGTTTACCAAAAATTGCTGCAAATTCCTGTGAAGTGAAGCTGTCGTCTTAAACCCATTCAAATGGATTGTCAACGCTGGTTTGTTTGGAGAGCTCCATGAACCACGTGACCGCACGGCGACGCCGGCGATATCAAAGCTTGTCGCAACTCTGTTTTTCAGTGGCTCTGGCTTTAACTGAAGCGCTACATTTTCTGATTTACGCCACATTAAGTGCGCCAAAACTGTATTTATTGTTTAAATTTTGTATTAAAACTTACAAAATTTGAAAGCTGAGAAAATTCCAAAATTTGAAACCTGAGACCTGAGAATTTGGCCAAAAAGAGTTGAGAGAAAATACGATGCGTGTCAGATCCGCGTCACGTTCAGCTACGGCAGCTCAAGAAATAACAGCCAAAATAACCTAATAACCAGCTGCTGTGATGTCTATTAATCAAAGAACAAAGAAAAAAAGAACTTTTATAGCTTTAAGGATTCATCTATATTTAATTTAGAATTTAGGGTTTGATAACTTCAATTTTAATTTCTGTATATTTCTGCTGAAGGGCACAGGTAAATATGACATTTATTATAATGGGTTTATGTGAAAATTGTTTTAAGTTCACTTAAATTAGAAGTTATTTTTTAAAAGTCTAGTAAATGTTGAAATTGATAGCTCTCAATTATACTGTAATGTTGAATGGCTATATATATATATACATATATATATTTTAAACAAAATTTTTAATCGATTGACCGCACTAATATAACTATTAGCGGAACTTGGATCAAATGCATTGAATGACGAAAAGCAAATGCATCTGATATTCATCTTTCTTTCTGCACCAGACCCGTTTTATACTTTGTGCTACAAAGGAACAGAAAACTGGGTGTCATGGGCAATAATGAGATGCTCAGAAAAGCTCTCTGATGAGAGCATGTGGCTCTGTTTATCTGAAGCACTAAGTTAAGTTTAGGCCGGATGGGTTTCACTTCCTTAAGTTCTGTATTTTAACCACTGTCTGACATCTAAATGTCTTATCTGTGATGATGACTGATTTCCTTTACTGTGCGCTTCACAGGTGCACTGAATGTAGCTTCCTTTAGAGTTGAGATACAGTATTGGACAAGGTGTTGATTAGCTCCATTAATATACATACAGGAGCTGAATGACTCTTGCTGTTGAACTTCATGTACACAAGAGATATATATGGCATGCCATAGCAGTTTTCGAGCACATTTATTTGATAAACTAAATAAATCGAGTGGGAGGAGCTGTTGTTGCTTTTGTTTTTCATTTCAGGAAGTAGCATTGTGTGATTCAGGGGAAGTTGACGTGATGTCTAATGAGTTGACTGTGATGTTAACTTGTACTTTTTCTCCATTTTGGCCTAAGTATTCTTTTTTGACTATTTTGACTATAACTATGTGTGATCATTTAGCATGGGTGGGGAGTTTGGCAGGACAATGATTATGCAACATGAATGTTTTTGTGTGATACGTTTGGTTTGGTGTCATACCAAATGTATTATATTGCAGTTTTTACTCCGTTATGTGTATTTACTGTGTAATCTATGTGGTTTCTATTTACTTTAGAGTTGTGAGAAAGGCTTACTGTAAGTTAAGATGGCCTTGTCTGAATGGAATAGGCATCAGAAAATCTGGATTATACTCCAGATGTAAAAAGTATAACAAAAAAATGGCACTGTTTCATGCATACAACAACAAACATGATGCAAGCCATGATGTCTGATTCACAAACAACTGACTCTTGTAAGAAGGTACTTTTTATTGTGTCAGCCAAAAGATTCACACAACTGCCTCACTAGTGAGTTAGTGGAATTAATCTGGCTCATTCAGTCAGTGAATCATTCTGAATCTGCCACTAACATTTTTTTTAGTTGTCTTATTCTACATTAACCCAGGAAACCGAATTTTGTTGTAATCAATTATTAATGGTATTTAAAAAAAACATTCAGATATTTGACAAAAATAATATTGGTTATTATTTAACATTTGAGGGTTTTTTGTTGAATTAAGGGGAAGTTAAGGGAAATTTTGAAGCACTTTTGAATGACAGTCTTTGTCAGATACTTCAGAAATATCAGCAAAATGTAATTTGGCTCCAAATGTGTCATTAAGAGCCAATGGCTTGCTATTTGTTTGTTTTTTAGAGGAAGTAAATCACTATAGGTGTACTGAATATCTGCATGATTACAGCCTATTTATGTAGACCGTTTTGGCATCTCAGATACAAACATATTGGATCAGAATTCATTGTGGTGCACATCAAGCATCAAAACACTATAGTGTACAAACAGAAGGATTTTGTGTTCAGAGTTGTCTTGAGTAGCAAATCTGTTTGCTTGCTTGATTTTCACTGATATTGCATCTCACACTGAAGTGCTAAACACTGCAGTTTTTGCAACATATAGATCACTCTGATAACATCTGGTTCCACGCCATCAATCAGCTTACAGGGTTGTTTTACGTCAATGGCGGAAGCTTTCAATTTTATTGCTTTGTTGTTATGCTCTTTTTGTTTATTCATAGCGTATGCCTATTATTCTGTTTTGTGCTCTTTACTGTTGTTGTGTGTACTGTACTTGATGGTTGTTTTCAGGGCCGTTGTTAGCTGACGTGGGGCCCGGTGCGAGGTAGGGAGTGGGGCCCCCCTCGGTCCGTTCGGTCCGGGGGGGCGGGGTTGTGTGGTACGCTCCCCCTTGGTCCGATCGTGTTCCGGGGGAGGGGCGGGGTCCCCCTCTGTCCATTCGCGATCGCTTTTGGGGGAGGGGGGTGTTGGGGTTGGTGCGTTCCCCCTCGGTCCGTTCGTGATCGCGTTTGCATCAGTTGCACCGCCCAAAGGACAGCCCTGGTTGTTTTATGTTATGGTTGTGGAGTATCCTTGTCTCAAGATGGCGCCGCGAATGGCAGCCAGGACGCTGAGCTACGCAATTCTTCTGCTGTTTTAGTTTGTTGTTCTGTGTATTGTCAGTCTTCTTCTATATGTTTTACCAGAGAACTCCTTAACATTAAGCAACACATCCCAGGCAATATTTTTCTGGTTTTTGATTATTCAGACGTTTTGTTGGACATTCTAGGTGGAGGTACAGCGGTGGTGTTCAAACGCGCATACAGACGCAGAAGATGGAAGCGCGCCGGTTATGCTCCGCGAGCGTGGCTTTCGAGCTCGCTCCCAAGCATTCATCTTGCAAATGTCCGTTCCCTTCCTAACAAAACGGATGAACTACTTCTCCTCACCCGCATCAACAAGGACTTTTCAAAATCTGCTGCATTGTGCTTCACTGAAACAAGTGAAGCCATTCCGGATAACGCGCTCCATCTGCCGTGCTTCCAGCTGTTCAGAGCGCATCGCGGAGTTAACGGGGAAAACAAAAGGCTGTGGACTACTACTTTCCACATAAATGAAGGTTGGTGTTCAGACGTAACAACTGTGTTTTCCTAATTTAGAGGCGCTCTTCATAAACTGTAAACCTTTCTACTCACTGCGGGAGTTTTCCTCTCCCGCTGCGCTGCAACAGCTGGCTGAACAAATAACTGAAACGAAGCAACGGTACCCGGACTCTCTTTTAATCATTCTTGGAGATTTTAACAAATCAATTCTTTCCTGTGAACTGCCAAAATACAAACAGCACATTACATGTCCCACCAGAGACAATAATATAAAGGATGTATATCACCCTGCCCCACGGGCAGCTTTGGGGCTCTCTGATCACTGTTTGGTTCATCTTATACCGACCTACAGGCAGAAGCTGAAATCAGCTAAACCTGTACTAAGGACTGTTGAAAGATGGACTAATGAAGCAGAGTGGGATTTACAAGCCTTTTTACAAGTAACTTCATATATCAGTTTCTGTGAGGAAATGTGCATCCCCACACCAGGACATTTTTATCATTCAGTAAAGATAAACCGTGGTTTACTGGGAAACTCAAACAGCTTCGTCATGCCAAAGAGGATGCTTACTGAAGTGGGGATCATATCTTGTACAACCAGGCCAGAAACAGACTGACGAAGGAGATCAGAGTGGCTAAAAAAAACTACTCTGAAAAGTTGAAAAAACAGTTTTCAGCCAACGACCCAGCATCAGTGTGGACTGGTCTGAGGAACATCACTAAGTACGAGACACCACCCCCACAGTCTGTGGAGAATCAACAACTGACTGACGATCTGAATGTGTTTTACTGGAGATTCGAAAAGCCCAGTCTCTCAGCCCACACCCACTCTGATCTGCACTTCATACTTCACCTACCCCCCCCTGCAACCCACTTCCTGTCTCCCCCACCATTCCACCTGCGCTTAAGGTCTGTGTACAGGACGTGAACCGGGTCTTCAGAAAACAGAAGACTAAGAAAGCTTCAGGCCCAGACAGTTTCACCTGCCTGTTTAAAAGTCTGCGCTGACCAACTGGCCTCCATCTTTACACAGATTTTCAACAGATCACTGGAGCTGCATGTAGTCCCCTCCCACTTCAAACCTCCACTATCATTCCGGTCCCCAAAACAACCACACTTTTCTTTAATGTAAAACACCCCTAACAAATGAATATCAAAACTCCAAGGGATGTAACACAGATCATTCTATATTTGGAATACAGAACAAACATTCATTTCCTATGAAGCTGCTTTGAATGATATGTATTGTCATAAGGGCTGTACAAACAAATAGGAAATGAATTGAATTCAGTGACATGTTTGTTATGGTGCATTGTGACACTTTCAGTATTTTGCTAATGTTTAGGCATGATAAAACAGTTTCTGAGGGATGTGGACTGGGGAGAATTGGACTATCTGATCGTAGACACGCCTCCAGGAACATCTGATGAGCATTTGTCCATCGTGCAGTATCTCAGCAGCGCTGGCATCGACGGAGCCGTCATCATCACCACCCCGCAGGTGAACAGCTGAACAGCAGCACTCAGATGTGTCAAGCGCTGTGCATGTTCCAGGAAGTTGCTTTTATATGTTGTGATCTAGTTTGCATTATAAAAATAAAATATTAAAAAATATTAAAATAAAAAGATTTGCATTATAAAAAAAATAGTTTGATTTTAATCATGAGTTCAGATGTATTGACGTTTGAGGAACAAGGTTTTCACACTTAACTGAAAGTTAAAAAAAAAAATTTATTTCCTGCACGCTAACAGTGAAGTGAAACTCGGTGTGAACAATGTATAAAAAAAGAAAAAAGTTATGTCTTCAGACAAATTGCACACATGCTTGAAGCCATCATTCATTTCTCAGAGCTAAGCATTTGAGCTTTGCAGTTAATTATTAATCAAAGATTATTATTGTTTATAGTCTTTCATTGCAATTCTGTGATAGGACACAGAAATGCACTTACACTTCCTTAAATAAATAGCCAAAGGTCATAGTTTGTTTGTTGTTGTTGTTGTTGTTGGTAGGCAGTATTTTGCAATACCAGACTGTGTTGGAGCAATACACGTTAAGTTAAATATTTGTTTTGTAGGTGTTAGGGTCACCCTTGTTGTGGCACTTTGCTGCCACTACTGCACATGAGAAGAAAAGTAGCAGCCAACTGAAACAATTTTGGGTAACACTTTATTTTAAGGTGTTCTTATTACACGTTACATGTACTTACTATTATAATAACAATAAATTATGCATAATTACATGCAACTAACCCTAAGCCAAACCCTAACCATAAAGTAAGTACATGTAGTTAATAAATATTACTCAGTACTTAAACGTATAATTACATTGTAACAAGGATGCCTTAAAATAAAGTAAACCAATTTTGCTGTATTCGTACTTTGTTTATAGGAATAACATGTAATAATCCTTAAGTATGTTTTGATTGCTGTATAAATTACTATTTTTTTTTTATTGTTCCCTTATCAAATAGGAAGTATCTTTGCAGGATGTGAGAAAAGAGATCCGATTCTGTATAAAGGTCAAAATACCTATCATAGGTGTGATTGAAAACATGAGTGGCTTTGTTTGTCCTAAATGCAAGGTATAGTATTCGTGTTTAAACACAGTATCTTACAGCAAAACACAGCACACATCACCCTTGACGTTTTCTGTATGTTGCACATGATTTTTGTGTAATGAAGTTTGAGATTGTCTTCTTTTTGTTTTATTTTTATTGGCATTATTTACTCACCCTCGTGTCGTTCCAACCTGTATGGCTTCCTTTCTTACATGGAACTCAAAAGGAGAAATTTGAAAGAATTTCCTGTTTTTTTTTTCCAGGCAATTACAGTTAATGGCGTCTAGAGCTTTCAAGCTTCAAAGAGGATGCGAAAGCACCATTAAGTATCAGGAGAGAAGTCAATTGATCATATGATGATGTATGACTGAAATTTACACTACTGTTTAAAAGTTTGCAGCAGTGTTCATTTTGACAGCAAATTTTGATTAAGTTTTAGTCGTAGTCTTTTGACTAAAATGCTATTTAGTTTTAGCCATATTTTAGTCATCTGAATTGTTTTTAGTTTTAGTCTAGTTTTAGTCGACTGAATATCATAAGGTTTTAGTCGACTAAATCTACAGTAAATTTAGTCGGCTAAAATCGAATGGGTTTAGTTACAGTGCATTTATTAAGCATTTCTCTAAAATTTCCAAACTCATTATATAGGTTTGATATTAAGGTTTTATCATGATAGACATCGATTTAACTGCGGTGACACACAACATGCCTTTGTTAAAATTAAATAAAACCACTTCTCATAAAGAACAAGAACATGGTCTTCGTTTTAATGAAATACCAATGGTTATATAGGCTAATTATGCATTCTTTATAGCAACTTGTTTACCATATTCTTCATTCTTTCAAGCAGACATATTTATTTCTATAAATAAATTTAGATTAATCTTTAGGGCTACTAAAGTTTTTCGGTCAAGAGCAGTGCGTGATTTTCTGTCTTTCTTTTGTTGCTTGATTAACATCAATGACTCGGACAATAGCAACTAAATTAGGCTGCTATCCCTGGCTTTAAAACCGAATACACAGCTGCAATGGATGCAATGTACTGATACATGTTCTCCCTACTGTTTACATTCACGTAATCAACTGTGTTGACGAGAATACTTGTCAAAATGGACAATTCGACATAATTTTGTGTGTAATTCTCCGTTCATGCGACGTGAAAGAGTACTCGTGTGCTGAGACGCGCTCTCTGTGTGTGTATGCTTCGGTGTCTGCGCTCAGAAAACCGGACTAATTGAGTTCTCTCTTGCGTCGTCAGATTTATCCATGTGTCTGCTCTTCTCTTACTCCCACATATTGCCATTTTTGAACGTTTTATGCGACGTGCAGCAAGTGTATTTTAGCTTATGTCCCGCCGGTTCATATGTACGCAATACGCATCTAACCTCCGAACCACGCAGCAGATTCGTTCTGAATTAATCTCTTCCCAAATCGTCCCTCCCTAACATTTTCGTCTCGTTTTTATTCGTTGACGAAAATGTCAATAGATTTACGTCATAGTTTTTGTCATTCAAAAAGAGTTTGTTCGTTATCGTCTCGTTGTCGTCGGTGAAAAAAATGTCGTTGACGAAAATTATTCGTCAGTAAAATTAACACTGGTTTGCAGTCAGTAAGGCAGAAAGCAATTAATACTTTAATTCATCAAGGATGCATTAAATTGATTCAAAAATGACAGTAAAGACATTTATAATAAAAAAACCACTTCAGTTTTTAAATAAATGCTGTCCTTTTGAACTTTCAATTCTTTAAAGAATACTGAAAAAATCTTTCCACAAAAATATTAAGCGGCACAAAGGTTTGATAATAATAAGAAATGTTTCTTGAGCATATACTGGATATTAGAATGATTTCTGAAGGATCATGTGACACTGAAGACTGGAGTAATGATGCTGAAAATTCAGCTTTGTAATCACAGGAATAAATTACATTTTTTAAATAGTCATTCTAAATTTTCATTATATTTTACAATATTATTATTATTTTTTGATCAAATAAATGAAGCCTTGGTGAGCATAAGAGACTTCTTTCAAAAACATTTAGAAAAATCTTACGGACCCCATGCAGACCTTTATATGCTATTATAAGTCGTTATTTACGGATATCATTCTAACTATTCTTTTAGTAGCATCCTTAAAATGAATCTGTTTATCCAGTTCATAAAATCACTCAGAATAATTAATTTGTAGGTCTGACTGATCCGGTTCTTGAGTTCTGACAGTCGCCAACAGCCAATGGAAAGGAAAATTGTCAGGGAATAACATCTTAAATTCTGTTTTCTGTCACATGAAGCTGTTGTAGTTCTTCATAGACTTGGGTTGTGTGGGGTACTTTGATGATCCCTTTGCATTATTTTTGAAGCTAGTATATTCTGTTGCACTTGCATGGAAAAGAGCGATTAATGTGTTCTATAGAAGAAAAAAGTCATTCATGTTTTGAACAACGCAAGAGTGAGTAATAAAATATTCCATTGTGGAATCACCTGCCACATTATATATTGGTTTTTGATACCCCTTTTCTTTCTGTTGACAGAATACATCACAGATATTTCCTCCGACCACAGGAGGAGCACAGAGAATGTGTGAAGAACTAAATCTCCCTCTTTTGGGCAGTGTACCCTTGGATCCACGGATAGGTACAAAAACCTTTAGTCTTTTACCATTAACAAGAGAATGCTTTAAACCGGATTAAATTCAACACAGTTGAAATATCATTGTACAGTTGTTCCGCATTAAGTGGTCAGGACATGAGGAAGTTTAATTTACATCATAGCACTGCGGTGCAATCCAATTCTTCATTTTGTGAGAGTGTTTCCTTGTTTTTATATTTACACCTTGTAGTCAGTGAATCAAGTACCAGAAAACTCCCTACAGTGATTCTTTTAAAGCGTCTGAAGAAAAGTCAGCAGCCAGCAGTTTCTAGTTCTCTAAATGCACTTCCACATTTTGCCTTTCAAGGGAAAAGCTGTGACGAAGGAAAGTCTTTCCTAAATGAAGTTCCAGACTCTCCTGCTGCAGTGGCCTATGAGAATATTGTCCAGAGTAAGTTATCCAAATCCCAGCAAGCATCTCTTTACTAACCTGCCTCACACTTAAGCTGATACACTGCCATTACTAACCATTCTGGTAATGCTGCTTTAGTGTGTTACCTAACAGTCTGGAGTACTGATATTGATAAACTAAGAATGGCAAGCTTTGCCAGAGGCAAAAAGACAGGTTAGGTTACACCTGACACTGGAGGAAATCAACTGCAAAGACAGCAAATATAAAGACAGTGAATATGTTAACACTTTGATCGAGTTAATTGATTTCCCCATTCCTTTTATGAAGAACCTGTTTGTTATGGTTTTTAAGTGAATCAAGAAACTCATTGAGCATAAGACATAATCTTGATTTGAGTGCCAAGAATCCCCTAAATAGCTTTTTGAGAACTTGTGTATACAGACCCTGTCTTCCCCTTTTTTTGTTGCTTGAACACGCTGCACTTGGTATATTTCTCTTTGTCCATATACACTCCCCTGCCATGAGGTATACTTGCTTGTTTAATGACATCTTCAGGTCATGTGGTAGAAACTCAGTTCATACATATATATAGCTGCTTAAATCAAAAATCAGAATGGAGGAAAAATTTGATCTGAGTGATTGTGGCTAAAGCAACGATTGGAGTATCTCTGAAACATCTGATCTCCTAAACAAACTGTAGGTCAGAACTTACAGATAATGCAAATAAATGAATAAATAAATCGATCAATTTACAAATGTATTCTTACGTACATTTTAGAATTAAATTAAATCCAACAGCTTTTCAGAAACTTGATTGTCAAAATGTTGATTGGCAACCTTGGAATTTCATAACCGTTTTAAAACCCTCACCTGATTTTTTTCTAGAATAATATTTGTTGAATATTTGTTCAATGTTGAACTCGAAGAATGCAGCAACATAAAACTTTGTGTAAAAAAAAAAAAAAAAAAAAAAGCTATTGGTTTTTGTAATGATGTAAAATTATTAAATATCACTTTTCATGCTAGGCCAATTTTTAATGATAATAATAATACATTTTATTTATAACACTTTATATTAAACAAAATCTCAAAGTGCTACAGATTTGAAAAAGAAAAGAAAAACTATAATATTCAGTGTAACCAGATTTTGCTGGGTGAGCAGGTGCTATCAGTAACTATGGTGATGTGAGAAGAATCCTGCTAAATGTGTTCTGAAATACTTGCAGATTTCTTCACAGACATATTTAACACATCCTTCAACTAAGCCACTAAGTGTATATCTCATATTAGAGAAGACTTCTTGAAATATAGACTATATACTATGTTAACAAAAGTCTAATTTTAAGGAAATAATGTTTAGCTTGTGAGAATGAGGAAATTGTCCCCCTTTTTTTGAGTAGAAGCAGATTACAGAAGTGAGTATTCTTTAGAATCCGGATATCTTGTTATTTAGACTCTATGTTGTTACATAAAATGGAGTGTGGCCTTCGTTTGTGCTGACAATAACAAAAACATTTTTTTTTTTCTTTTCACAGAAATCAGAGATTATTGTTCTTCCCACACTACATCCAACAATCCTTTTTGATACAGAAAATGTGTATCAGATCTTTGCCTAGCCAGCTGGGATGTCCTAGGAAGAAAGAAAAGAAAGGTCATTTAATGGCAATGGGCATGTTTCAGCAGGCCAGGAGAAGTTATGTGGAATTTTATTATCAGAAAAGGTAGAATGTGGGCCATACAGTGGCTTTTCCAGTCAATGAGATGTAATGGCTATAATGTTTAATTTTGCTATTCAATTTCTTAAGATGATAATTTCTACATCCAATCTGCACTAAATCTCTATATTTTTATTGATAATTAACAAGCTAAAACACCTGTTATAGTACACACACACACACTTGTATGAAGCTTTTTTGTACTGTTCCTAGGGGTGTGCGATATATATCGTCTGCGATAATATCGTAATTGTTGTTTTAACGATGTGCGATTTGACATTATCGAGTATTTTGCAAAAACCATTCAAAACATCCCTACAGAGCACACGCATACATTACGTGAAGTCTAGACTAGTGCGTGTGCGCATTTAGTGTGTTTTCTTTCACTGCATGATT